CACCTGGCCATGGCTTCTGTCCGAGTGAATAGTTGAAACTTTGAAATCCTTTATCTTACTTTTGAATTGCTGTGGTTATACGATTTACAGATTGCGTACAATATTTTAGTAAGGTATATTACTATATGTATGAACTTTACTAGGTACCGGAAAAGGATTCCGATGTAGAACTTCTTTACTTACATGTTCTATTCATATTGGGATTTCTATTTTGTGTATAGAATATATATTTTTTATATTAAATTCTTGGTATTTGATAATCAAACTAAATATTGATTAATTTGAAATTAAATTGCATCAAATTTATAAAAAAAAGAAACTCTAACTCTTTATTTCTCTAGACTTGAATTTAAAATTTTATTTAAAAGAAACCAAGTTCCTTTTGCTCGCGTTAATAAGTAATTAAATTTTTTTTTAATTTTTTGGTGTATAAAATATGAATCCTAATTTTTTCAACAAAATTTATTCAAAAGGCATTTAAGAGCTAAAATTAGAATTTTCTCCAAAAATTTTTAAATGTGTGGAAAAAAAAAAACCAGGTATACTACTAAGATCTGCAAGATGACCCCTTACTTTTAGCTGAGCATTTTTTTTTTTTTAGTTTGAAATATATAAAAAGGTATAGTATGAATTAAAAAAATATTAAAATATTTTTATTGTTAAAGTCATTAAGAGTATTTAAATACTTTATTGTTCGATCGGATTGCATGCACTTTGACTAAAAAAGACATGATTTTGGTTTAACCATAGTCAATATTTAAATGTGAACTAATTAATGCTATTCTCTTATGGTCTAAATTTTAAAAAATATATTTCTAATTCATTTTAAAAAGACATTTTAAAGATTTTTAAATATGAGCGGAAGGTATTCTCACCTAATTGAAATAGAGAATATCAGAGAGTTTTTTTTTTCTTTTTTTATATTAAATGATAAGTTATAAAATAAAAAATAATTTTTTATTTTTTAATTCTTTTTCATACATATTTTTAAATTTAAAATTAAAATATTTAACATAAAAACTTAACTTCTTAATTATTAAAATATCCTTTACAAACAAAGGATGCTCTGATATTAATTTGTTTCTGTGTTACTCAAAAAGAAAAAGAAAAAGAAAATAGCTTAACTAATCATTTTTCATAAGCAAAACATGAAATAAAATAAAACCATGGTGAAATAAAATAAAAATAAAACGGTGCGTTCTGATTAAAATAAAAAATAACGAGGGGAGGCGCATCTCCATTCTCCAAGCCATTAGCTGATCTACAGATTGGAAATACTTGTGAAGTCGGAAATTGAAAATTCCTGCTCTTAGGGTTTTGAAAATCAAAAAGGATCCAAATCCAAATTTTACTGATCCAATGTCTGACCGGAACTCCCTGGAGAATCGTCCCGGCATCTTCGTCGTCGGCTCCCCTAACGTCGGCAAACGGACTCTCCTCTCTCGTAATTCTCTGATCATCTTGGATTTTGTTACTCTGTTTGTTACATATATATAAATCCTGTCAATTTTAGTTTTATGTAATTGCAAAGATTGTTGCTTTCCAATCAGTAAATACAAGCATAAATCATCAACATGATAATTGCTTCAGAATTTTGGATGATTCACATGGTTTTGTTAACGTTGTGGAAAATGGTGGAAAGAATTGTATCCTTAATGATGAGATTGTATGTTATAGGATTGATCTCTGTGGATTTTGAAGATGCCCCTGATTCTTCTTCTCAACCGCTTGTTCATGGGTATGTTGAGTTGTTGACTAACGATTTTTCCTCCAGTGACTAATTTGCAATCGTTTCTAATATTGGAATCGAGAATGACACTTAGTGTGTGTTAATAAATAGGTGGACTATCAATACAAAGTATTACACGGCCGATGTTTCGGTCTGGATGGCTCACCTGCAAGATGGATTTTCTGTTGGGAGCCTGCCAGTTTTTGACCAGCTGACTGCCCTAGTGATGGTCTTTGACATGAGTGAGGTAAATATATTATCTTCTTGTAGCCTGTTTATATCTTATTAGTTGTTAGTTCGATGGTGTGCATGAAGATAATTATGAATCATGTTGGTCCAATAATATGTTTTTTCTGATGTTTTATGTTACTTGCAGCAATCAACTCTTGTTGCACTCCAGGATTGGGTATCCCAGATTGACCTTCACAAGTTTGAGATACTACTTTGCATTGGGAACAAGGTGGACCTTATTCCTGGTCATCCAGTTCATGCTGAATATAAAAGACGCCTGCTGAAGCTTTCAGACTCTTCTGATGGTTCTTACTCAGGGTTTGCTGAGTATGGGATTTTTGAAACTGAAGGAAGTAGTTTGTTGGGGGATGAAGAACCATCTTGCGAAATTCGAAGGTCATGTTTGGAATGGTGCTGTGAACACAACATTGAATTCATTGAAGCTTGTGCTTCTAGTACTGATTTTGACAAATGTAAGGCTCATCTTTTAGCTCACTCTGTGTATTTTTGTACTTGTTTTCCACAGTTAGACAAGATGTATGCAAACTCATAAAAATATAGACCATTGTGCTTTAATGCTAGAATTCTGAAGGTACAATCATGATAAGTTAAACTTTCCTACATACAACAGACTCAAACTAGACATGTATAATTTACTTGTACCAGGCATGAGAAGATCTAATAGAATGAAGCTCTTCTCTGTGGGAGCTCTGCAAAAATGAAAAAAATGTCACTTCACCAAAATACCAAAAGAAGGTTGGTTGTAGGATGAAAAGGGGTACCCTTTGTCTGGTGTTCAACATGAAGATTAGAATGAATGAAAAGCGTGTGCAATTGAGATATTGTTTTTTATGTTTCTTTTTTGCATTGGTGAGAATAGAAGCTCTTCTTGACAGGTTTGTCAGTTGATGGTGATTGCCAAGGAGTTGAACGTCTCTTTGGTGCTCTTTCTGCTCATATGTGGCCTGGAATGATCTTGAAAACTGGTGATAAGATAACTGAACCATCACTACCAGAAAAAGAAGGTTTTAAGTCCTACCTTTATTTACTTTATATTTGTTACTTGCTACTGCACTGCTAAATGTTTTTATCTTCCCTGGCCAGAGTTATCCGAAGAAGAATCGGAATATGAATTCGACTATGAGGTGCTATCTGGGGGTTCAGCTGAACCATGGGATGACACAGAAGAACGGTGGGTTTCTGCAAAGGGAACTAGTAATCCACTTCCAGATACAGGTCCATCTGCTGTTCAGAACAATTATGTCAGGGAATGTGAACAAGAGAATGCAACCAGTTGCACTAAGGAAGAGCTGCAAGATCCAACATTTACGTCCAAGTTGGAGGATGAGGTAATTGAGGGAGTGGTACCCAATGCCCAAGGACCTGACAAAGCCTCAGAATCAGATGAGCTTGCACCATATGACTTTGAGGATTTGGAACAGTTAATGTCTGAGATAGGAAATATACGTGACAACTTGAGGTTGATGCCTGATTTTCAGAGGAGGGAGATGGCTGCGAAGATGGCCTTGAAAATGGCTGCCATGTTTGGAGGTGGCAGTGATGATGAGGACGGATTTGAGTGATCAGGGGGATATTACCATATGGACTATGGACTAAGAACTTTAAGTTTAATCCCTTCCCAGGTCTCAGAAGCTGTATCTTGGAGGGAATGAGCATTTCTTCTCAATTACGCGGGAGAATTAAATGCTGACTTGGATTCATTCATCCTCATATCTGTGTAGAACATTTCCCTTTAGGCAAACCAGTACTTCTGTAGCAAAGGTGGAAGTGTTTGCCTTTTGTCTTTGTAATTTCTATCCAATCAAATGGGAAGGCCTTCTGAATATCTAGGAAATTTGATTTAGAAATGGTTATGGTATGTGAATATACTACTATTAAATTTTATGCCAACGGACTGATTTTTTGATCAAAGAAATCCTCCTCTTCCTACCCTGCATCGGTTCTCATTACAACCAGCTGCAGTGTAGTGAGAGATGCTGGAAATGTAGACCCTGACAGAGACAAAAGTTCAATCTTAAAGGTGGATTTCAATCTCCCTTGCTTATATCATTCTTTTTGCATCTGTTTTCAGTACTTTTCTCTTCCATTAAGCAATTTAGGTTTTTGTTATACTCCATTATCACATCACACCCAGAGGTATGATGGATGTATAGGTTGATGGGAATCTGCCGTGTAAAAACAAAGTGGTGACCAGCCAGGAAGGAGCAGTTTCTTTCATTCCACATGTGGGAATGGAGACTGATCCTGACCTGACCTGACCTGGCCTAACACTGTTTGATTACTCCTTTTCCTTGCTTTGCTGCCATAAGGGTAGGCCCCTTATGCTTAGTTTCTGCTGTAGCCGCTGGAGCAGCAGGGATGGTTGGTGGTATCCCTTGCCTGTATACGTTGGTCTGTTCTCTTAGAGCAACATTTAGATCAACCATGGCCGAAGCAGGTTACTTCTTTTTCATCAACGATGATATTTGTTTCTTGTTATGAAAAATACCACTAAGAACGTATCATATACCTAAATTAGGCAGGATTCTTTTGCAGAATGGAGCCGTAAGTATTGACCCCTCCTTTTCCAACTTGAGGGAGAAAGGAAAATGGGCTCAAAGAGGAAAAGCAAATATGTCATCTCCTGATTGGGCAGAAGTCTAGTAAAGGGTTGGGAAAAAAAGTAGGCAAAGGCAAACCCACGGCGCCGAATCATGTTTTAACACTTTACTCTTTTTAATGTGGAAATATTTGGGCAATTATGAGTCTCCCTTAGTGCTTGTTCAATCAAACATAGCTGGAAAAAGGATTAGAATTGAACAAAATTCAAACTAGATATTTAACCTAGGATTGGTGGTGGGGCCTCACATAAAATGGATCACTAGAAAGCATACTTTATGCTCTCATAAAAGCCTTCAATACAACTATTGTCCTGCATCAGTGATATAAGCTAAGGATAATTTGATCAAGCTAATTGAAAATTTTTATTTTCCCCATTTGAAGCTCTTGCTTGAGTATTTTTATTTGATTAAAAAAATTTCAATTATCATTTATATAAAAAAAAAAAGTGTATATCGATCATAACTCATAAATTTAGAAACTGATTATATTATAATATATAATTTGTCTTTAAATTTAGATATCAACATTTAATAAGAAGAGATTTCAAGTTTTAGATATAAGTTGAGAATCGAATTATTTTTTGAAGATGAGATTGATACGTACTAATTTTTATATATAATATGTTAAATTTAAAAAAAAAAATTTAAAAATCAAATTAAATTTACTAAAAACAAACAAGTATGTTATTAAAAATAAAATGTATATCAATTTATGCAAGTTCAATTGAATAAAAAGGGGCATTTTGTTTCACCTAATGTATTAGTTTTTTATTTTTTGATGTATTGTACTTAATGATTGAACTCTAAATCTATACTTTAAGTGCAAAGGCAAGTCCATATGTTTGATGGCTTTTCCTAATATTGCGATAAAATATCATACATCTCTTGGACTCATTCAGAATAACTCCACTCTAGCTCTTGCCTTCAACTAAAGTAAGCGAGGAAGAAGAGTAAAGACAAAGGCTTCCACTTTCATTTCCTTTTTCTTCTGTTCCTTGATTACCATTAGCATAAACCGCTTCATAAACTATCCTATGCATAAATATCATTGATTTTTTTTTTACTATATACTTATACAATAAAAGATAATTTTGTTATTTTAAATTTTAAATTTTTTATTTTAAAATTTAAATTTAATAAAATGATATATTATAAAAAGGAATTTTATCAAATTAATTTGTAAGTCAAATTCACTTTTATTTGTCATTCAACTTTAAAAACCATTTTTTTTTTAACCATAAAGTGCTTCATAGACAATACTTTGGAACATTAATGGAAAACAAACAAATTGACCAGGATTAGGCGTTATGGAATAAAGAGGGAAATTCCATCTTCTTCCTGGTATTGTTTGGTTCAGATGGTAGCAGGAGCAGCATATTTTGGGAGAATCAAAAGAAAAAGGTTGAATTATTTTGGTGGTCGAAACCCAAGTGTTGGAGGTCATTCAAAGTGGGAATCGTTTGCCCTTTTACAATTTTGCAAAGCAGGAATCAAACACCCTTCAAGAATAAAGTGATCCTCTTTTGGTTCCTGAACTTTACAGCAACAGTTGTTAAAAACAGATCTCTTCATTTTCCCTCATTTTCTTGGCTACCAACCGGAATTATCTCAAACTGCTGCGGTGCTGCCCAAGAATTACATTCAGAAGTAGAGAAAAATCACTAAAAGATGCTCTTTTTACAGAAACAAAAAGGAAGCAGAAGAAGCTAGACTGATTGATGTTAAGGCAGGAAAGTATTATTAGTTCCATTAGCAGGAAGAATGGAAGTATCTTCTCTTGCTTTGATTTGTGCCTCATTAATGGACCCAGAAGCATTCCCGGAGGAGACAGCCGGAAACTGGCCGCATTTCTGACATCTGGCCACTACCAGAATCTGGCGGCATGAGGGACAGGAGGAGTGAGACCCCAGCCAGGTGTCGATGCAGAGGACATGGAAGCCATGGCCGCACTGGGGCAACACCCTAATCACATCCCCTTCCACGAACTCCCCCAAGCAAATCGCACACTCCACTGAAGCAAACTTTGCAATTCCACCGCTGTCCTTGGTGTACGTGAACTTGGGGATGGATTGAAGGATCTTCTTCTTGAGACCTCTGTTGGCCGAACCCCGAGCGGCGGCGCTGTTGTTCTGATTAGTGCCGACACTACCCCGGCGGCGGAAACACGCACATCTCGCCACCGCAATTAAACCCACCACGCATATCAATGCACAGAGAAGAGCAGCTAATATCACCACAAAATCAGACTCCAGGGGCACGCCCTCTGGCGGTGGAGCCGCCACCGTCGACAGAATTCTCAAAGAACGTGTCATCCTGCTCATAAGCTAACGTAAAAATAAGAAGAAAGAACCCAAAAAAAAGAACAGATTTTTTGTATTAAGTAGCTCGAAAGAAGCTTGCTTCTCTTCTACCCATGAAAGCAAATATATATAGGAGAAAAAAGACTGAGGGTTTTGTCTGGGAGAACTAGAAGAGTAGGAGAAAAGTGGGACATGAAAGTGGGAAAGGAGGAGATAAGGAGAGAAAGAGAAAGGAAGGCAGGTGGGCGTTGCTGTGGATGATGGATAATTAAGGAGGCGTTTCGAAATTTATATAAGCTGGTTGGGAGAGACAGGGGGAAGCCAACTTGCCCATACTGTGTTTTACTTTACCTTCGGATAAGAAGAGATGGACTGGTTTTAATACCTCAAATATCTTCCTTTAACCAATGTTTATAGGGTCTTTAAACCCCTTATTTTCTTGTGGGCTTTCGAAAGTTTTGTGAAATGTGAATCTCCAAACACTTTGTCAAGTGGTGAGCATGAAAGGGATGTTCACTAGGGCGAGGATAATTTTGCTTCTTAGCAAGGTTAATTCGGGGTTTCAATTACTATATTCTTAATTTAGTCGACAAGTGGGTTTGTTTTTCTCATTTTTTCTAATATCAACTATGGTGATTCGTTTGTCGTTTTTAACTAATTTAGATACTATGTAAACATAAATTACTACGCATGTGATGAAAGCTTTAAAATGGGACCGTGCTACGGCAGCATCATGCATGAGATGTTGGTAAATTTAACCTTCTGTTTGGACTATACTACTAACGGGGCAAAGAGTGATTTGGAGGTTGTGGTTCGTGAACTTAAGTACTCTGGGACATGATGTGGAGGAGTTTGGGCAGGATACCCTTCCTAAAGAGGTTCAATTTCCCCACTACTGGAGAGTGAGGACTACTAAAGCATGTGCACCTGTCTAGCAATAGAAACAAAGAAAAAAAGGTACCTTTATATATCATCCAGTTTCTTTACTCTAGTCCATGGCAAGAGAGAATATTGTTGGGTGGATCTTTATGGTTTTGTTTTTTCTTTTGAAAAGGGATTGTTATGAAAATCAACCAATATTGCCAAGGCACCCTAACATACAGATTCCACAAGGATCTTTGATCTTACACCAATTAGAAAGAGGCAGACCTCAAATTATAGTAGTAAGTTGATAACTCTCATTTAACATCTCATCTTTTCTATCAAGATGATTGCAGTATGACAATTATGAAAGCTGCACATGAATACCCTTTAATATCCACTTTCAAGAGGGACTATAACGTTAGTACTAGTGTATGAACGCGAAAAAAACCAATTACCTTTCAAAACTCTCAAACATGGCTAGATTATATAGAAGTCATTCATTTGTGAACAAGCATAGTGATATCCTGAAAATGCCACTTCCAGGCTACATTCCAAAAATAATAATACTTTCTTAAAACTACTTGCAACAAAAAATTTATACAGTGATATCCGTTGTGTTGGCTGCATGATAGGAACCAAAATTCCTTCATGTTTGCCTTGGCTGGGCAAGCTTGGCAAAGGAGAATTCATCTTCATTGCTGGTGGTTTCTTCATGGTGGGTTTCATGCATTTCAGTAGCTTGATCATCATGATCCACTGGCGCTGGTGTGGGTGATAATGGATCAGCTTCAAGATCAGATGCATCGCGATCATCATAGGCAAAAGAAGAGCGTGTTGAATGACCGGTTGTCTTGAAACGGTGCAGTGTGTTTTGGGAGACTGATGAAGGAGGAGAACTTGAATTTCCACCAAGAGTTTTACTAGACTTTCCAACCTTCCCCTGCTTTTTCTTCACAGCCTTGTGCCAATTCTTAAGGGCTTTAGATGTTTGCTCATCAAAGATCGATTTCTTCATCCGTGAACCCATCTGCAAGCATCCACCATGACAAGGCACATCTGAGCATGGAAAACTGTAGGGGAAATTTAATTCACTAAGTCTTATGTGAATACAGCACCTGAGTTACGAGGGCATGTAATGGAAGTGTTATGTAGCTGCACAAGCATAGGACTCCAGCCCTGCAAGCCCACAATGGCTAAATCAATCATTTAAGCGTTATACCAGCATTTTCTATCCTGTGTGAATTTGAAGCAGCTTCTTTCACTGGTACTTGTAGAATCAAAGCTTACCCCAATGCTACTTTGACAATGGCAAGCTTGTAATTGGCATGGAAGCAAGATGTCACCCCAAATGAATACTGCACAAGGAGTTATATGAGTGTTACATCCAATTTCGATGCCAAAAACAACAAAAAGAGAGATGGGGTTGGAGGTTTTGAGCAGAAGGGTCAGTAGAGTTCTGTTCATTACCCAAATCCAAAAGAAATATGTTATCTGGAAGGCATTCTGCACACACAAGAAATCAAATAGAGCAATAAGTCCTTGGCACAAGGAGGAAACTTGAGAAGCTGAAATCTAAAGCTCAAATACTGACAATTTCTCAATAGACCAATAACTTAGATAAAAATCAGCAAGACTGGGGGGCATTAGGTACCTGGAACAAAGCAAAATGGATGAGATGAAGAACTAATTGGGGCCGGCCAAACCAAAAATATTTGTCAGAGCCTTGCACAAGAGGCATTCCTTGGACCACTGCATGCCTTTCTGTGATTTCAAGAGCCATCTTTAGCAAAATGGCTTGAAGCTTTGTCCCAACAGCTAGGATTATCTGTAATGATTAAATGATTATGACACCAAAATCTTTGAACATTCTAATGCTGTTACAAGTTAAGCTAACTTACAATGACTGGAATTAAAGATGCCCATAATAACGTGTGCCATCCTGAAGAGGAACATAATTTATGAGCAAGAGGAACACAGCTTCTAATTCAGTCTGGAAATGCAAATATATACTGTTTTTGGATTTTTCCAAGAAAAAAGTGGCTTACCATTAACATTTAGGAGTACAAAGATCACAAAAGATGCCCACAACAGAGGACTGCAAGCAAAATGATCATGGGTTGAGACACATTAAGTACAAGGTATGACTATCATAGGAAGATAAATGATGTGCAGACAGTGGAACTATTACCTTACTCCAACAACTACTTTGAAATCATCTTCTAATGATCTTTTGATGTATTTTTGGAAATCAAATTTCCTTCCTGGAGCTAAATGTAACTGTAAGATCAGCAGAGAATTGTCAGGAAAAGAATGATAACTCAACATTGGATATTGTTAGATCTGCAATCATATCTTACAGCAATAAATCCATTTCGCAATGTCAAGTAATCAGTTTTCCCAACAGACCTGAAAAACTGCCTGAAGAAGCATCCCTACAATGATTAAAGGAGTCAGTGTTGGCTTAAATAGGTAGCATAAGTCATAATATTAACTAAAACAACAAAGAGCACTTGAAGAACACATCAAAAGTAATGAGAATCTTTCCAACTTGCAACTGGCTATCATGGTGCTTTCAAATTCTTTGTACGTCAATGAAAACAAATGAGAGAAAGCATGCTTATTAAAAGAACTAATACTTAACAATATAAAAGAAGAAAGGAATCCTTGTCCAGAAACTGTTGTGTGCTTTCACAAACGATGTCTCATGAGTAAGCCTGAATCTTGAGGGGTCTGTGCACAAACATGCATCAGAATTAGTTATAGAGGCCAGATAGGTTCCAAATTAAAATGTAGGGATGAAGTTGTAAAACCATGATCAATAGTGACAAACTGAAATATATAGGTTACAGCATGTACAGGAAAATATACCATTAGAAAACTCATAGTCATGAGATAAAGTTTCCTTCTCCCACTCCTTCCAGCCGCGAATCTGTACAAGGCAGATTTCAATGAAAAATTATAAGGTACAGATCTAAGCTTTTTAGCAGCTAATGTACTAAAGAGTCCAAGGACATAGAAGTTCATTGATGGGGCATTGGTGCATTGCATTTTTGATATTTTCTTCTTCTTCAATTTGGCATATGATTTTATTTATCTACTGAAACATAGCATAAGATCAAGCAAGATATCAAAAACACATTACTTAGTAAAGAGATTATTACCTTTAGCCTCCCAAGCAACATTGTAACGGCACTATAGAGAACATGAAAAACTGCCAAGAAAAAAATAAGGATGTGCAACTGATGCAACGCATTGATAGATATAAGCGATTCATAACCCTGAAGATACAAAATTCAATCAATTAATACTTAGGAAGACTACTGAATTCAATGTTTGAACATAATGCTGTACAATAATCTGGGAAGAAAAAAAAAAGGAACAGGTCTTAGAACTTGTCAAAAAGAAGAAAAATTCAATAACTGAGAAAAATGAAACAGCAATACATATACACTCACCTCCTTACATGTGGGTGAAGTATCAACAGCGGCTAAATATCTTCCCTCAAACCACAAGAGTTTTCGCCTACCATCCTCACCGCTACTGCTATTACTACTGCCACCATCATTGATGCCATCAGCTTCACAGGGCAACATGGTATCTGCAACCTTCGAAGAAATACAGATCCTGGCTATGTAAGTCTGTCCAAAAGTCAGCAGCAGTGAAATGAAACCCATAATCATCAACTCTGCAACAATCATTCAAAAGTCCAAACAAGCATCAACAATTTGTTGTCTCCAAAGTAAGATCAGAACATCAAAATTTTAAAACCATTCTCACGCTTCCAAATCAGGATCAATATCATATTCCATTAATTACAATTATAAAATGGCTCTTACCAGCTTTGACCTTCTCCAAAGCTTCAAAAAGGGCTTTCTTGCGCCTCTCTGTGAACCACTGATATCACAACAAAGAGGTTAAACAAAAGTACCCAAGACAACCAAAATATTGACAGAAAGATCTAAAAGATTCAAACATTAGAACACAACAGGGATTTTTTTTTGCTTCTTTTTCCTGAACCCCAAATGACAAATGTAATTCTGCAGAAATAAGATAAGCCCCAAACATCCAATGGAAAACAAAGATAAAAAAACATAGTTAATACAGAATCAAGAGCGTATAATCAAAATAAGAAAAGTAAAAGCTTGAAGTTAAATCCATAAAATGAACCGAAAACAGAAAATTCCATGTAGAGAAATCAGTTAAGAACAAGAGGAAACGCATAAACAAGGCGAATTCAGGTCTTGAAGGCTCAATTAATTAGCACAAGGCCTACCGTTCCAAGTTTGTGAAGAGACTTTTCCAAGAGAAACGAGATGATGATGATAACAGCACAGACACTGGCAACCGCCCATGTCGGCGTCTGACTAAGCTCTCTCTCCCCTGTACTCTCCGTTGCCGCCATGACTCTACCACTCCCTCCAAGAAAAACCCACACAGAAAACCAGAACAATAACATTTCCCCTGTTTTCATTTCCCTCCCTTTAGAATTCGGTTTGATCTCAATTCTCCCTCACAGACAATGAAATAAAAAGAGCAGAACCAGTCAGTATGAAAGCAAAGAAACAAAATTTGAATGAAACAAAACTAACCGTTCAAACCCTGTAATTGAGAAAGACAAAGTCTTCTAAAATTTTGAATATTTTCTGAAACGAGGGACAAAGATCAAAACTTTCGGTGGTGTAGTCAGAGTACATAGGTGCTACTTCAAGAAAACCTCGTAAATAACAAAAAAACAAGCCTAAGAAAGGATCAAACAAAAACAGAACAGTGAACTCAATTATAAAAATCTTTTCTCTTTTTCTTTGTTTCAGAAATGGGGGCCGCTTGAGCAGAATCCAGAAGGCAGAATGGGAAAGGCAAGAAAATTTACAAGGAAGGCAGGAAGGAAGGTGATAAAATGGGAAGTTGATGAATGTGGGGATTCAATTTAAACGCACGGAAGCTAAGAAAGGCAGCTACATGGAAGAAGAGATTGAGGTGTGAACTGTCAAAAAGCGAAAATTGTTACTGTATGTACTAAGTACGCCAGTTGTGGCCTTAACTGTGTCGCTTCGTCCGAATGTAGACGCACAATGGATGGTGACATCCATCAACTTCTTGGCAAATCCTACACGTAGCCGCTCTTCTTATTAAATTAATTGTTTTTAGTCCTTAATCTTATATATTAAAACTTTTAACTCATTAATGGGTCAATGTTTGAGTAAATAATTCGAAATTAACCGTTAATTTAACGAAAATAGCCCCTTAATTACTTTATAATTTACTCTCTTTTTTTAACAGGATGTGATAATTTAATATTAATTTTAAATTAGATAATTAAAAGGCCAAAAACCTTTAAAATGTAAGGTAAAAGTCTAGAAAATGATATTTTGAACAATTAAATTTAATTTGTTGGTTTGAGTAGAAAGAATTTGGTTTTCCTCAAGTAAGATTTTAAATTTAAGTTTTGTGAATGAAAAAATATGTGTTCAAAGAGTTTTCTCAAATAAAATCTAACGTAACTTGATTTTAAATTAATCGAAATTTAATATGATTATCAGATATATGAAATTAATAAAAATAAATAAATAAATAAACTTTTGCCGCATTTTGTTGGGTCTTACGTTGTGTCTTTGTCGCGTAAAGTGTTCACTCTGCATATGAAAGGATACGCCGTACGCCCTTCACATTTGCCTAGGGTGGGCAAAAACCGGTTTCGGTTAAAACCGGTTTTGAAATAATCGAAATTTTTTTCCTAATTTTAAGAACCGAAACCGAACCAAAATTATCAAAAAACCGATCACTTTGGTTATCAATAAATTGGTTTTTAATTGGTTCGGTTTCGGTTTTTGATAAATAAATAATAATCAATTATTTTGCTAATAATATATTATATTTTATCACATATTTTATCATATTTATCTTAATTTTAGTTTTTAAATAATTTATTTTTGGTTTTTGATTTTTGAGAGACTTAACCGAAACCAAACCAAAATATATTTGGTTAACATTAAAACCAAAAAAATAAAACCAAAAACCACTGAAATCGAACCAAATTCATTTTTTCGGTTCGATTTTTGGATAAACAATCGGTTCGGTTAAAAAATGCCCAGCCCTAATTTTGCCATCAAATGGACCCACATAAAACACATTTGTCATAATTTCCGAACACGGTTTTTTTTTTTTTTTAATCATGAACATGGTTAAAATGAATTATATAATAAAAATATAGTATTGATATTAAAATTATTAAATTATTTCTAATAAACAAAAATTTTGGTTTATT